GGCGCCGGACGAAAACTTGAGCCGAACGTACTCGGCCGGAAGTCCCGCCGCCGTCGTCGTCCCCCGGAATCCTCTCCCGGTAGGGCAGCTGGTTCCTGGATCGACTGACCCCGCAGCCAGAGAGAGGAGTCCGGCTCAGCTCCGCTCCCAGGTGTGGCGGCGTCCACGCGGCGCCGGGCGACGTGTTCTGTCAACAACGGCTCAGACGGCCGGGCGCCGATCCTAAATGCGAAGGCCAAACCCGCCGGGTGGACAAGAAGGGGAGGCGAAGGAAGGACGTGACCTTCGCCAAGGCCTATCGCAACAATGTGCCAAACCAATGAAAGGCGTCTGGCATGCCCCATCAGAGAACTGAGGTTTAATGCAGGTTGAAAAATCAAGTATATTTTGGAAATTGTTGATTTCTTTTTGTTTTGCTCACCTTATTATCTTTAAACGTCCTACTTTTATGAGTAAAAGAAAATCAATACAATATTCGCACCCCAAGTTAGGAAAAAAAAAAGTGTCCCGCCGACCTGCAGTGCTCGAAAAGTTGCAAGTTTATGCGAATATCTGCCATCCTTGAGAAACCGTCACTGGGGGCAGCAGCACTCTCTACGCATCTCCAACTCGATTTGCAAGGGACAACACTGAAGAGCATGATTTTCGTGTTTGGAACTACCGAAGCAGGCGCAAGTTGCAAGAAAGGCTGTGCAAACGCAAGCGAAGAACATCGGCGAAGGAACGTTTACTGTCGCCCGCTAAGCCTAACCACTGTAATGGCGACTGTTTCGATGCCATCAATGTTTTGTTCATGTCGGTTTGCATTACGGGGAAGAAGATAGCGTCCTTCGAGAACAGATACAGTACACGGGACTGTGGCTGCACGAGTTCGATGATGTGCGACGTCGGCACGCTAACGATACTTGTAAGCAGTGCGATCTGCCCCGCTTGTCACGAGCGCAGATTTTCTACACGTTCGGGAGCCAGCTAGAGAAAGCAAGAGATTTTTGTCCCTCGGACTACACTAGGAAGAGCACTTTTGACGTTTGCGTCGAAACATGCCGCGTCAGGTGGAGATGTATAAGCGCAAGGCGAAGCTACAACGGCGGGAGCTCATGCAGGTTTTGCCGTCAACTTGATAGGCGTCGACTTCTGGGCTTCTGTTTGATTCTCGGCCTGCTAGCAAGGGTGCACCACAAGACCTTCACTTGCGAGAAAGTTCATGCCGCTGCCACGAAAACTGCCAACCTCATGAGGACCAAAATGCCGACGTGGGAGTCAGCGAACGGAGCTGATGTCTGATGGCAGATGGTGCAAGAGGGACCAGAAAAGTAGCAGCGTACAATGCGAGACGTGTTTGTTGATTCTGACTGTTTCCTGAAGTCCCTACTTTTATGTTCTGGACATATTTCATGTAATTGCAGACAATATTTGTAAAGTACACATCTCTTGAACTTTCAAATGCATTTTTTTCTTTTTTGGAAATTTATGCTGTCCTCTCAGTTTGTGCAATCAGTTTTTGGTACTTAGAATCTTTCAATCATGATGAAATTTTTGATGTGTTTCTTTGAAGATTGTAGACTGCCGATATCTATCTGGGATTGCAATATCTTAAAAATGTTTCTGCAAATTCAAACTCACTTTTAAAGGGCTTCTAAAAAGAAGGCTTCATCATGTCTTTGTTCTTCTTTAATAAACTTACAAAAATTGTACTCGACTTTCGGCTAGATACTGGCACTCTACACTTCATAGGGAACGTTGTGAGCTATTGCACCATGCTCGTTATAAAATATTACTGTAATATTGCCGCACGCGCAGCCAGCCAACTAGAGAGCTCGGCCGTGGCCCGATGGCGTGTACAAAGGGGCTCGCGTGGCTCCGCGTGACGTCACGTGTGTATAAAAGGGGTTCTGCGTGACGAGCCGGGGTCAGTCTTGCCCCAGTGCTCGATCCTGCTCTTTCGCCGACATTGGCACCTGCGATGCTAACCTTCTATATTGTTTTGCGTACAAGTTTGCCACATTAATTTTTAGTTTCTTCAGCTATTGGCCAACTGATCATCTGTCACTCGTGACAATGTCCCGATAGATAGCCCCATAAATTGAAAGCAACTATGGCAAAAATGAGGAGTGGGCTAATTTTCAGTGTGCAATAAAAAAAAGTTGAAAAAAGTCTAGTTTTAGATTCGGTGCCCTGTAAAACTTGTGATCGCAGCTAGGGGTGATGAATGTAAGATTACTGTGCTTCCAAGTCAGCAATGTTTGCTTCTCTCTGTCATAGGTAAGTAACACTATTTCTGCTGAGTTAACCATTGGCCAGGGCCCTGCAATTACTAGAAGTGGGCTATCTTTTGGTGTTTTTGAAAAGTAGAAAACTGTGCCGAAGAAGGGTGTGGTTTATCTTTCAGGCGTGGGCCACTTCTCGGGAGATTTCATTAGTGTACCCAGCTGTCCACACAAAAAACGTTTTCTACGTAGTTATTTCCACCTCTGAATAAAAAGCCATAGGAGCTACATTAAAACTAAGAACTGTTTTTGAGAGAGAAGACAAAACTTTTATGAGTAGCTAAAATCCTCATATTAGAGCAAGTATTCAGAGAATGAAGTGTCTCCGAACCACGCCTTCCCTTCATTTGGACCATTTGGAAATCTTATGACGTGCAACCGAAATCTTGATTACACAATCTCTGCAACAAGTCTCCGTCAGATTGCGGGCACTTGACCGGGATTTCGGGATCCGTAGGGCGGCGCTTTACCTCAGAGCCACCGAGGCAGCTTGTCAAACTGGATGAATGAAGATCTTGCAACAAGTTCCACATCTTCTAACCCTAGAAACCATTCACGACAGTCCTATATGGAGTCGCTGTGGCAGTCGCGCTGCAAAACTCCGACTCCACCCTACTGTTTTTTCTCAGTCCAGTGTCTAGGTTGCAGAAACACAATTTCGACATTCGCCCGCGTATGTCTGACAGTCTGACCTTGCACAGAAGTTCTGTGGTTGCCAGTTTTCACCTTGAGTGTAGAGCATTTCGCAGTTTGCGGAATGCAAGCTGGCCTATAGGAACACAAGCTTTAGAGTTGTCGGAAGTTATAGCTAACGTTCACCACATGCAACATTTAAGCTAAGTCGAAAGTGGAGTTTGAGCAACATGCTCTCGGAAGTCCTCCCCTTACATGTCGGTTGTCTTTAAACTCGGTCTCTAGTTTGTCAAGGGCCCTACTGTTTGTACCAGTTTTGGACACATTACCGCTGAGGTGTAGCAGTGTTAAAGTTACTCGAGGAGATAAAGTAATCCCGGTAAAAAAAACTGAAGAGGAACTTGTTACAACTACCAGTAATGCGATACCGGTAACTACCATAGTTACTTTTTTGGGCAACTCGTTACTGTCATGGCGTTACTCTTTACAGTTGCTTCAAAAAAGCAGTTGAGACCTTTATACCCGGAAGTTACTGCACTAAAAAGCAACGCATTACAGTCATAGGTAGGGTGTGTACTTTCCGGTGTTTATTTGTGAGAAAAATCGGCGATGTTTTTCGGTGTTTATTTATTTTCAAAACACCGGTGTATTTTGGTGGAACGTCTCACGACAAGGCTAGAATCGGTGATTATCGGTGGAAAAAAAATGCGATTGATCACAGACAGAGAGTTCCAATTTTATTCACATATTTCGTACACTTCTTTTTTAGGAAGCATCTATTTCTCACACTTGGTTATTATAGTAGATGCAAGCATTCTTTGAGAGGCTTGCATCTGTCATGGCAGCAGGTTCCTTGCGGTTCACAACCCACAATTATGAAAACGCACGCTCCTGTATGACACGGACGTTGGCAGTGTCTTCCAGGAACCACAGCAACCTCTGAATACATGGCTTGCACCGACATCACTTGGCCAGACACAATGGGGAAAGGGCACGAGAGAGCCTACCCTCCACTGCGTTAATTGTTCCACAAAAGGGGGCCATGGGAGACACAATAGGGGAAAGGCGTGTGAGAGCTTAGCTTCCACTGCGTTCACTAAACGCTTTTGACCCCCAGAAAGGAGGGCGGACTGACGCCATGTGCAAGCCATGTATAAACACTGGAAGGATGCAGGATCCAAGAGATAACACGTTCGACGAACCTCTACGGGGAAAAGGTTTCGCTAGGTCGGAATCATGCCACGACCGGTGTTTTTCGGTTTTAACCAGAACGAAAAAATCCAACCACCGGTGTTTTTCGGTTTTAACCGATTTTATATTTTCGTCACCGACGGATGATTATCGATGTTTTTCGGTTAACACCGGAAAATACACACCCTAGTTATAGGTTACCAAAAAATTAACCATATTCGATGACAGCTTAAGGACCCAGTAGAAGCTTCGCCTCCAGCATGCACTCTGTGCCCTTAGCTAGGCCTTGGCTGTACGCGTGACAAAATGTTATCAAGGCAAAGTTTTTCCTGTTTGAGCACTATTTTAAAAGATCTGTGCCACCCATTGATGCGTAACTATGAGCCAATCATTGCCTGGTGTCTGAACGATTGTTTAGATGGCCTGTAGGCTTCTGCACTGCTTTGTTGTATCATTGCTGAGGCCAGGAAGGGTTCTCAACATGTTGCCTACTATGAATATCAGTGACGTGCTACCACTATTCTCCGTTTTGCCATAATCTGACAAACGGCGCAAGCCGTGGCCTGTGTGAACGAGTCTGAGTGTTTGGGTGAAGAACATGACAGGGAACCGTTGGACAGTACTCCTCCTTTCGCCAAGTCATGCCGAAGCAAAGAACAGTAACTAATTACTATCTGAGACCAGTTCATACCGTGCATTGCAAAAAAGAGGCGCAACAATGTGTGATCACTCCAATTGGAGCGATCGCGCATCAAAACATTTGCCCTCTGCCAAGTCATGCCGAAAAAAAGTATAGTAACTAATCACCGTCCAAGCCCGGTTCGTACTGTGCACGGTAGGAAAGATGCGCGAAACCACGTTGCCAGTCCTCAACGTGTCGTGCGCTTTTCTCCATCCCGTCCTCCGCAGACATCCCAATCCTGCCGACGGTGACGGCACGCATCACGTTCCAAGACTTCGAGCTGCGGGACAACATAGACGAGGCCCTGTTCGAGATCCCGACGGACTATCGGGAAGACCGCAACCGCTTCCCGGACTTATGATGCCTGGACGACCTGCTCCTCGTGTCGCTCGAAGAGAGGCGCCGCGTCACGCTCGCCCGCCGCCCCAGGCTCTTCGCTTCTTCCTCCTCCCGTGTCTCCTGTCGGGGGCCGCTGTGCATCGAGGTCGTTGCCCTCGACCTCCCCGTGACCTTGGGACACGGCAGCTCCTTCTCGTCGACCCTCTCCGTCGTGTTCGACGTCTGACGTCGGGACGCTTTGACGGCGCACCGATGAGGCTTTTCGCGTCGTCTTTACGTGGCACTAATTTGATCCGTGCGTTCCGAGGAACCTACAGGGTCGGGGAGAGATACTGGAACCTTGTTTTTCGACTTGCGTAGGCTAACCATCCGTCGCGTAAAGCCGAAACTCCGTGTCAGTATGACGCAAGCGGTGGGAATCGAATGTGGGAAGTTTGAGAATGTGACATTGTTTGTATCAGACGATTGAACGGAAAAACAAAAGTTTCTTTACGCCCTGGCGTCACCCTGGGCCTAACATTCATCAAACCAAAAACTGATATTGTGGGTGTGTGTGGCATCTATTTCATTGAAAAAAAAACTTGTCTGCAAGAGAGACAATATTGTTATTTTCTTCTTGCTTACAAGGTTTTGTCACTGAAATAAATACCACAGGCATACAAAATGTCTTTTCTTTTTGTGGAACGAATATTAGGCCTTGAGTAACGGCAGCACCTAGAGAAATTTTGTGTTTTTGTTTTATGGTTTTCACAACACCACATTGTCATTTTTTTGCATTTTATCACCATTGCCAGCATCATATTCACAGGGAGTTCCAGCTTTCAGCGATTCATTGTTTATTTATGCGAGCCGAAAGGCAGAGTTTTAGTTTCTCTATTAAACCCGTAGAAACCTGAAGTTTGCTGTCTTACGTGCCCCACTTCGATATAAAAAGATGGACTGAAAGCAGGAGTTTCGATGAGAGTGTTGCAGGGTAAAATAGGAGCTAGAAAATGCAGAGTGTCCTGAAAAGTCTGGAAACCAACTTCGAACATTTCTTGCAACGAAGTGGGATGGGCACGACAACAATATTGGATTTCTAGAACCTCTGGCACATCTGGATCAAATTAAAGGCATAAAGACCACGCGGAAAACCTCTTTAGTGCACCCCGAGTGGTTTCGACTGCGGTCTGACTCGAAACTTTCTGAAAGTTGGTTATGTTCTCTGGGCAGAAGGCTAAAACATGCTGCCGGTTTTGATAGGTTTTCCGGCAACACTAAAAGTGACGTTGCATTTTCTGAATGAGAGGCTCAGGTGACATTCTTTACGGCCCAGCCCTCCAAGCTTTTGCAGCGACCGTTTGTTGTGGGAAAAGAAAAGAATGTTTTGGAAGAGACTTCACGACTTAACGTCGTGGCTTTACCGTGTCGTGATCTCGTGCAGGAAAGTGGGGTGGAAAGCCGCAAAAAAATGTTTGAGATATCTGTTGTGCCTGTCGTTATTGTTCAAATCAGCTTTAGTGGTTTCGCAGCCCACCTTGAACATTAAGTTGATTGCAAGTTGGTGTCTGCGCTGCCTGGTTTCCAAGGTTAGAATTCGCGGGCGTCAAGCCGCGTCCACGTTCAGAAAGCTGGCATCTTGTGGTCTGATGTAAGGCTACCGGATAGAATCTGGCAAATGGAGAAAACGCCCGGGCATTTTAAGTTTGTAATGGGGCAGAAAGATTGCACAGTTTGACTTCGTGATCTTTGGATTGCACACAAGTAATTTAAGGGCTGGCCTGTGAAATAGGCTAACAAACCATTGTGTGGCACTTGTGCAATTTGGTGGCCTCGTAATATGGCATTGCGATGCTACACTTAGCCGGTGCTCAAATATCTCTAGATTTGTTCTAACGATGTAGCGTTTGATGGGTACAGCAAACTCTTCTCTTTCTTTGGCATGGCGCCTTTTGTTTGAGTAACATTAACACTCGACACTGACTCATTGATACTGGAGTGCGATTCTCATGGCAACAAGAATTGCCGACCCACCAAACAAGCAAACTAAAGAATTTCGATTTATACGAGGGTAAAAAGTGCAAGCCTTCATGATACGCAGCCTCAATCGAAATTTAAAGGCAACTGCTACCACCATATTTTTTTTGCTAGCTTTGTTAGTTGACGAGCATCTCCAAGGTTTGACATAGCACGGCAGAGAACATCTCTCTTGAACAAACAGTATTTGCAGACAAGGTTCAGTAACTTTGTATCGTGTAGCAAAGGTAGACTTTTCTCTGGTTTTGAGGACCCCATTTTGTGGTATATAACACAGGCACATTCTTACCAAACGCACAGCGTAGAAGTGAAGCAATTGAATCCCCGCGCATCGGGTTTCTAAGTGCGACCTACCTATCGTTTTGCTGTTACGTAAAACTGGGAAAAAAAAGGGTTGGGCATGGCCGCACACGGAAGGCTTAGAACCGCATTCTTGTTGCTTGAAACCGAATGTTGAGAAAGATATCAGAAAGAGAAAGGGCACTTCCACCTACCTTTTCAGTTGTCCTCGCCTTCCCGAACAAACTCCGTGCCACCAAAAACGATCCGTTCCCACACGTGCGATAACTGCCACCGTCTCGATACCTGCCCACGTGTCTTTGGGGGAGAATGGTTTTCATTAGCATTCATTCACTTATGCAATACGCATAGCTAGGTCGATACCTCATGTCCTCTTCTTTGCGACTTGCGACGACATTTCCAAGTTTCTTCCGGCTGTCTCTTCGACGCCAAGACTTGAAAGTACAGCAATGTTTGCAACGTTTACCGCTTTGAATACCCCTTGCATAAGGCTCCTGAATATGCTTTTTAGTGTATAGATATATCTATAATTATATATATATATTATATACATACAGGTCTCTTTTTATGCTAAGTTTCTTACCTGGTTTACGGTATATTTTTACATTGTTCGGATCACTGTATGCTGGTCCTTGATTGTGGGGCTTGCGGGAGAGTGGTCTGGACGTTGCTCAGACTTTAGGTTGGGTGTCGTTATTTACGGCTGGCTGTCGCGTAATGTTTGAGTGGAATTAAATGTAAGTAGTTAAGTGGCACTTGCTTGAGAGAAGTCTGGATTCCTGAAGCAGCACTTATCATGAAAGCTCATTACTGCTTGAATGTATGCTCGCTATACAGATGGTTTGTTTCTCCTGTAAGTGTTTGGACAGTGAGGGTTTTGCTTGATCTCTTTCTCACATTAGTGTTTGGGTCCCTTTTCATTTTCACTTTGGGATCTGAGAGTTGTAATATTTTTTCCTCGATAAAAGTTGTAAAGAGTCTCCTCTAAGTTTGTCACCAATAGCTACACAGTTTTAGAAGACAGTTCCTTCATCTAGTCTAGAATAAAATAAACTCAGTATTCTATATAGTGTGATAGGCATTTACAAAAATTTAAAAGTGCTGTTTGTATTAGATTATGTTTTTGTGCTCTGTGAGCTCGCAGACTGGTTTCCGCTTTTGTCTTTTTTGCATGAACTTTGTTGTTGGTTAGCATCAGCATGTTTTTTAGTGGCAAGTGACAAGAGCCTACAGCCTACTTCATTCCAAAATTATTCTGCAGGGTCAGTTATTCTAGCTTCATTTCCCATCATTCATTTATATGGCTTGTGCTTCTAACCAGTAACCAGCCTCGTTTCCTCAGCCATAACTTTTTCACTCCCCACGTTGCATAAAGAATGCCTCTAAAATCGCCCCATTAAGACTGAGTGAAATCGTTGAGACCTGGATGTTTTCCAGTAAGAGCTTGGAAAAGTCTGGTTCGTAAACAAAACAGGAAAAAGAAAACGAAAAAAGTGGAAAGCAAGCAAAAAGGAAAAAAAAAAGTTGTGTGGTGGCATATTGGTGGTTGTTGTGTATATGTGTGTATGTGCTGGTGTTGTGGTGTTGTACAAAGTTGTAATATATTTAAGACGAGAAAAAAAGAATATGCAAATATAGCACTACTTCTACCGCCAAGTGACAACAAACAACAACAACAACAAAAAAAAAGACAAAGCAAAACTTCTAAAGAAGGCCTACTAGAGAGAAATTGTTTATTTTGTGAGACAATACACCTACCTTGCAAAGTCCAACCCCATAGTGTGATGTTCTTTTCTGGGTATTGAAGTATGTAGGGTTGTCGGGTGTAGTCTAGATATATTCTATTTTTTGAATTGTGAGCGTAGTAGATGCCGGTTTGAATAGCTTCATGTGTCGAGGTGGTGTAGCATTCCCCAAAGCACTTTCTTGTTCGTACCATTGATTAAGGAAATCACAAACTTTTTTTGTAGAACCTCGAGATTCGATTGGTTTGGCGAACCTTCCATCTTTTCGCAAAGTTTGACAAAGTTCGACTTGTGCACAGTGTTGCCCGACTTTTACATAAATTTGAAATTTCGGGTAACAAATCATTTATATTTTTTAAATTGATTGTACACTATAATAGTAAACATGTGTACTCCTAATGCTTAAGTTAGCTTATTAATGTGAAACAATATACTCAATAAATATCGCGTCTGATCGTTTCCAGTTCCTGCGCATGTGCTCTAAAAACTAACTGGTCGAACCTTGGTCGAACTTTGCGTCAGAAGTTAGAAAAAGTCGAACCTGGTTGGATTTCGAATTTTTGCAGGTTTGCAACACATGCGGAGTGCAAGTCGTCTGCTTCTTGTGCAAGGGTTGCGGTGACATCAGAATGACGCCGACTTCTGATTGACTTTGATTGGAAGGATGGTGGGCAGACCTCAATGCTAGGTGGCTAGAGGTCTACCCACTATTTTTTTCAATCTGCCAATAAGAGCTCGGCGTTCTGACATCATTGCATTACTATTCCGCATTAATATGTGCATCCGCATTACTATTGATCAACGTCGGGGATTCAAGAACGTATATTGAGGCGTGTATTTTTGTTTTGGGATTGGTGTTGTGCTTGATTTCCACTTGATGATAATTTTTTTTCTTATGCTTACCGGTTACCGCACCGCTGTGGTTGTGGACCGAAAGTGTGTTAAGAAGCGGCAACATTCTTTGTTAATTTTCTTCCTTTTCTTTTTTTTTTTTTTACAGTTGGGGTTGCTTAAGCGAATTTAGAATTTGTAAATAAGCACGCGTTGACAAATTACTCCGACATTGCAATAAAGCCACTGTCGTTTTGAGTGATGGTTGTCCATTAGAATTGTTTTGCTTGACGCTGTCTTATGAATGGTGCATATAGTGCTATCGAATATACAAAAAGAGTTCACGCATAACTAAAGAAACGGAAAAAATCTTTAAATTTGTTCAGGTAATTCTGATAAACCTGGGGAGTGCCCAACGTGTCGTGCATGGGCTATGGTTTGTTATGGTCGGTTACAGGGACCTTTAGGTGGTTTGAGATGCGTTGCAGACAGGACGTGTTCATGCACTCTACGGGTTTATTAAAGTGATCGAGACTAGTCTAAATTTATCCAAGAGGAGTGTCTGACGAATACGCTTCAATGAAAAGTTTTTGTGAATTTGGCTCTTTCTGAGAACATGTTTACCGCCTTCAGTTCTTCGTGCTCTTGGATTGCGAGCAGCCCCCTGTGGAAACTGAAGTAACTGGGTTGAGGTTGAAAACGCTACGCCATGATATCTATTGCTGTAATATGTGATTGCCGCGCCGTTTGTGCCAAACTGCTCTAAAGTGCTTACCTTGCTTCATTGTGCTAAAATATGATGCATTTGCATCGACATGGTGCAAAACGCATTTTCACTTTATTCTTTTTAAAAATACTATCAGAAATAGAGGTGTAGTACTTACACCCTTTAGCCCATATAAAACGCCCCAAAAACAAATTCGATGTTCAGTCCACTGACGTTGAACCGATGATGCTAACTTTCACGTACATTAGCTATTTAGTAAGTTTTATCACACAGCTATCAAGACACTCGTAAAAGTTGGCATCGTCAGTTCGGTGTCAATGGACTGAACGTCGAAATGTATAGTTAGTTCTAGGGTGTTATGTATGGGACAAGGGGTGTAAGTATTACCCCCCATCTCTGAGAGAATAGCTTAGGCCCCACAGCCGGATCGTTACCTAAGGCTTGTGTGCAGTTTTAGAACTTTCGATTTTCGCCTGAAATAACATACTACTCGATTTGATGCCTGTGTCGGACACTGAAAGTACTCTGAGGTCTCGCAGTATTTATAATGGAGACTTAGTAAGTCATTACCGCGTACCGCACTACCAGAGCCCTTGAAGCATGCTTTTAACGGGACGCTAAACCTAGGAAACAAAAATTGATGGAGGCAAATTTGTAGAAATTACAGGGTGGTTATCTATGCATGCAACAGCATTTATCATTGAACAGACAGGCTGGTGTTCGGTTCCCCGCTAAATTTAGCGGAGAACCTGCATTGGTGCATAGGTCACGTGACGTAAATTTTCCGCTAAGTTTAGCGGGGAAACTGATTTAGTCGATTTCCACTAAATTTAGCGGGGAGCCTGGATGGGTGCATGGGTTACGTGAAATCAGTATTCCGCTAAATTTAGTGGGGATCCTGATTCCGCTGAGTTTAGCGAGGGACCTGAACTGGTGCGTAGGTCACGTGAATTCAATTTTCCTCTAAATTTAGCGAGGAACCTGATTCCGGTTTTCCGCAGAATTTAGCGGAAAATTGGCGACATACATAGAAATCTGCGATGAGTAATTTAAAACTGCTATCGCATTAAAAATTGTTTTCCTACCTGGTTACGATAGGCATGTCTCAAAATAAATGCTCGTCTAGAAAAACATTGTTTGCCCCATATTTATGGGCAGAGGCTACATTCACGCGTGGGGACGTAGGCAAGTGAAGAGGAGATAAGGCTTGGCTAATACCCGCAAAAGGTCACGTGACTTTTAAGGATAGTTTGTTTTTATGTACATACTACGCTTTCTTATAAAGAGGTTATATTTCATTGTTTTAAAGTTAATTGTCTGTTTTAAACCTTACAAATGTTTAGACAATTTATCAATTTTTTACTGTTTTCTAACACTAATAGCAAATATACGTCATATAGAGAGTACCAATAGATATCTTTATGGTTATGTTCAGGAGTCTCACACGTGTGGGCGGCGTGAGTGCCATCCGTGCGTGCGGGCGTGCAGCCATGTGGTGCGGGCTTGGTTGCCTCGGTGCGGGTGCGGTCTCCGGGGCCCTCGCGCATGCGTGCTTCGCTGCCGAGGCGAGGCGGTGAGGCTTCGTCGTGTCTGGTTGGCTTGGTTCGAGCTTATGTGCATAGAAGGGGACAAGTGCCAGCCCACCGCTCCGTACGTTCTTGACTTGCGAGCACGCTCGCAATCTCACAAAGATTGTGAGAGATGGAAAAACATGCGTTAAGCCAGTAATAACAAACATACTGAGAGCACTCAATCGAGGACACTGGGTAAAAGATTCCAGAAACAGTTTATTCCATGACAAATAAAACAGTAGCCGATGCACAGATGCCACTCGTCCACGAGATCACCGATAAACACGAAGCCCTTCCCACGTACCACGAAAACGTTCTGAAAACATTCCGAGAATGTTCAAAAGAACATAGGCAACATCTTGGAATCTTGCAATTTTACGTAAAAATATTCTATCAACGTTGTCAATGTGGCGCAGGCACCTATCGCTACATTCGGGGAATGTTTTCTAAGGGATATTTTTAGAACGTTTTGAGAATGGCATAGAACGTTATCAGGGCATTCAATCGACATTCAAATATTATAACAAGGTTCTAAGAACTTTCTCAGGACATCCAAAGAACTTCTGTAACTTTCTTTAAATGTTGCAAATTTATGCAGGGACATCCTTTCAACTTCCCCCAGAACGTCGCGTGGGTACGTCGCAACATTCAGGGAACATTCTCTGATGACTACAGTATTTACAAAGCTCCACAACTACGGCTTGCATAGGCTACAGCCCCAATGAGCCGCGCTACATTTATGGATGTAAAAATAGATACAGATTTTTAGAAGGCGAAAGCACAAGCTAGCCGCTTTCCCAGCGCAGCACCCCGAGCAGATACTAATGACACTTTTCTCCTACCTATCACTTGACAAAAATAATCCCTGTACAAGAGGGACAGAGGACAAACGCAAATCTCCAAACACAGCTAGGTGACTGGTGCGCAAGGACGTTTAAACATTAAAGGGACACTGACACCCCCCAAAAATTTTTTTTCATTTTTTGACAGGGGCTTTATTATGGTGTCGGAGGACCACCCAATTAATATTTTGCAACAGAGTAGCGTATTTTTTTAATAAAGCCGAAAGACGCAACTGCTCGAAACCGAAACCGAAACCCGACGGAGGTCGGAGAAGTGGAGAGAAGAGAGTGAGTGGCGGAAGTCACGTGGCTACACCCGACCGTGCGTTTTTTTGTTTTTTTGTTTGTTTTTTCTCCTTTCCGTAGCAGACGACACGACATGCGGCGTGCGATGCGGCGTGCGGGAACTGCTCGCCGGGCGATTCTTTTGCAGTTATGTTTGTTACGCTCGTTGTTCTGTACTCCAAGATGAGTTGTTTTGTACATTGAGGAGTCGGAGATGAGTAGCGAGTGCCCGTGGTGAATTTCCATGATCGGCTCCGAAAATAATACACCCAAGATGTTGCGTGAAGAGCTGGCTCACATGTCCTGCGTCCGAAAAAAAAGTGGCATTGTGCGACAGAGTTTCCGAAAGGTCAACGGGATCGGGACCATTGGCTGGCTGCAATTCCTGTAGAACATATACGGGCACCTCGGAAAGCGGACGCCACCTGATTTATATGCTCCTTGCATTTTGTGGAAAGTGATTACATTGAGTTCGCAGGTGTCAAAAAGGAAATCACATACCATTTAATTCAGCGAAGTATCGTCCGTAACATTTGTTTGTTATTTTTTTGTTTGTTTCTTCAGTGATGATTGTAAAAAAAGAAAAAAAAAATACGTAAACATCGGGAAATGTTTGAAAAAAAAAAAAAAAGTTTCACGAGGGATCGAATTCGGTCCTACCGCGTGTGAACCGGTCGTCTTTCCCACTGCGCTACTGGGGGATTTTTTTTTTTGTAACAAGAACTTTATTTACAATAAATATGCAAAGCAATATTTTACACTCAATTTTACGCTCAACCCTTTTGCACACTGTTCACCGATGTCTGAGGAGGAACGCCAGCTGGAAAGTTCCATTCGTTTGAACGCCTACTCAGGCGGTACCTGACGAAGGACGCACGTGGTCGGTTTTCTGGTACCATGGGAACTCCTGAGTCCTCACAGCACCTCCGGCTGCTCACGCCGCTCTTCTCGTGTGCTCATACGTGCTCCCGCACACACGATGCGCGCCACGCTCAGCCAATATTACAGATGAAAAAAAAGAAGAAAAAAATTACAAACAGAAGGAGAAAAAAGTAAAGAAGAGAAAAGGGGCCTCGCACGCGCACCGCCCCCCTCACACGACAACCGAACCCTGCCCGCCAGAGGGCAGCCGACAGCCGCGGCCACTAGAGTTCCTGTATAGCTACCTACGGTAGCAGAGTTGCGCATTCAGCCTCGGCGCGTGGCCGTAGCGCCGGCTTTCCCGCACGAGCTGGACGCTTTGCTCCTCACGTGACTAAACTTGGCGAATAGCGGCGCCGCGCGCGCCGCCGCGCATGGAAAACAGGAGAGGAGGAAAATGAGGCGGAAAGCAGGGAAACATACGCCGGGGCAAGAGAAACGTCGGCGGAGCGACCGTAAAGGTGGCTTTCTTGCACGCCAACGGATGCTTTGCTCCTCACGTGATGGATCTCGGCGAATAGCGGCGTGGCGGCGCGGGGAAAACAAATGCGCAACTCTGGCTCCCGTAGGGAGCCTATACAGGAACTCTAGCGGCCACCTAGAGTAACTGTATATGCTCCGCTTGCGGAGCAGAGTACCGCAATGGTGCCATTCTGGAGCCAAGCACTGCGGGAAGCCACGATCGGTTTTTGCAGGGGCACGAAGGCGCAGACGCGAGGAGGCGGCGTGCTGTAAAGTCCCTCTATACTGGAAAAGTAGCGACAACCTTTGATCACGCCGCCGAGCTCAGCGGTAGGCCGGTGTGTGGCACGTGACCTTTTCCTAGCGCCCCGCCCCTTTGGCAGCCATGAAGGATCCAGCCAGCAAATTCTCCCGTGTCTCGTGTGTCCCGTCGCCAGCTACGCCGCAAGCTACG